CTTCACCTGCAGTCTACCTGAGCACAGGTGAGTCCCGTTCACCAGCCTCACAGAGTCTGCAGGAGGAGACGGTGAGATTTTACTGTAGTTTCTTTTTATTTTATTTTTTTACAGATTTTCCTGTTTTGTTAAATTACAGATAATATCTATAAAAATCAGAAAAAAAAATGTTTGACTATAAAAAATGTTTTAAAGGAAAAAACTGTGAATAAAATTTGCTGAAATCTACTTTTACAAAAGTTGATTTCTTTGTTTAAAACTTTTGTAAAATTACGTTATTGAAGTTATTAGCATTGTTTTACAGACGTGTGCCGTCATCTTAAATAAAAGTTTTGTACTTTAAGGAAAATCTTTTTTTTTCATTATTTAAATAAAAAGAAGCTGTTTCACATGCTTTGAAATTTTAAATCTGAACTTTTAATCCTGATATTTGTGCTGCTGTAGTATTTATTTAAATTATAATTATTATTGTTTGAATGTGTTCTAGTGCCCTCGGGGTTCCAGCTCACCTGAGCAGGTGATCTCTACTCTGAAAGGGGAGGACACGTCACTCTGCGTGCCGCTGAACCCATTCAACAGGTCCAACATAGGGGCTGCCGAGTCCAAACGGTCCCGGGTTCTTCGCAGGGAAATGGCAGAACCACAGTTGAGCCTCCTGCAGACGGACGCTGCTGCCGTCAGGTTCCAGTCCGAGTTCTGGTCCTGGACTGGTTCCCAGTCCGCCTGCCGCTTCACCTCTAGCCTGCCGGAGCAGTCGCTGACCCCCCCCACCAGCTGGACCTGGGCCGAGCCGACTGATGCAGCACAGGAAGCGGAGGGGTTTTCAAAATAAGACTGCGTTTAATACTTATTTTACTAAATGTTATCTGTAACTGAACAAAATCTGTGAAATAATGAAGTCTTTCCATTTACCTGCTGAAGACTGAACACGGTCCAGCCAGAACCCTGAGGACAGAACCACCGAGAACACGTTTACCAAAATAAAAGTGGGCCAACATTTTTATTTTTTATCACCTAAAAAGAAAATTCTGTATCTTAAGAACTGAAAAATGGTCAATTTGTTTATTATGTTACTTGCAGAAAACCTGCAGCCACAATGAATAAATGAATCGATAAATAAATAAACACATATCGCACATTTTGAGGGCATGTGCAGTAAAGTCTGCTTTTATGAATAAAGACCAGTGTGGTGGTGTGTTTTTAATTTAACCTCTAAACTTAGTCTTGTTTTTTTTTCCAGATTTAAAGACATTTCACAGCAAATGAGTTCATTAAAGCTGAACAGGAAGTGAGAGTTTGATGTCTGACGCTCAGAGTTCCTCCAGAAGCTGCAGCCGTTCAGCGTTTTCTGACGGTCTGAGCATTTCTAGTCGATGCATCCTGTTCATCAGCGGCGTCTCCAGAGGATCAACCTTCACCTGTATCACCTGTGTGATAAAGTCCTACCTGAGCTGCAGAGGCACAGAAACGCTGTCAGAGCTCGGAGCACCATCGTGATCAGCCTCCTGCTGCTGCTTCAAATCAGATTCATCGATTCTGCAAAAACCTGCAGATCAAAGAGAGTTTTTATATAAATGACTGAACGCTGCTGTGGCAGAAGAAAAGGTTAAAATGAGACACTGTGCATTTAAAATACTGTAAAAACTAAAAAACAAACAAGAAATCACAGCAAATATAAACATGAATTAAAGCCGCAAGCGGCGATGGACGGGTCCTCGCCCTACGCTTGTCGGCCTTCGCGCACG